CCTACAAATTTATGTACAATTTCTTAACTAAAAAAATACTTTATTATACGTACTTGATAACCTCTTAAAAGTATGAAAAAACAAATTAAAATACACACTTACTGTAACATTCTTTTCATCCATCATCGTACAGTAAATTTTTTTGCTTCACAAACGCAAAGGGAGCGAAATTCAAAGAAAATTATCATTCACATGATGTTGATACATTAGTGATCCTACTAATCTAGTCATTTTCCTTATTTTAGAAATAAATCCCTTACATCTTTTTGTTCCAAGCCAATGTTTTATACTATATTTTTCTATTGATTCGAACAACCACGACGCAAAAGGTATAATATCTAACTTAACCCCCACTACTTGATCTTCTATATTTTTTCCTTGTACTTTATCTTTTGGACAAACACAACAAAAAGGAAAATTCTCTGAAATATTCGGGCCAAAACTTGATAACCGTCATATGCATTTTTATCGACATTTGCAAACCCCCTTAATTTTACCTACCATTATTGTTCCTCAATCGTATTTTCAACACCGATGAAGGACAAACTCAAGACTCTTAAATCACTTCGATTTGTTTTAATTTGTTTGACCTTAAAAATTAAAATGTTTCCTATGGAAAAAATTATAAATATTTAATAATAAGATATGAAAAATAAAATTGATAAATAATGTTAAAAAAAAATTATGTATTTACAAATTACATAAAATTATATAAATTAACAAATTATATGTAACTACTTAAAAATTATGTTACACATAGATAATACATATAATTATGTGTATTAATTGAATACTCATTTACATATTATTATTAAATAAATCATGATTTTTCCATATTGTAAATATTTGAAATAATAATGTTTATTAAATAAGTAAATTAATTGACTCTATTATTTTGAAGTTAGATATGCTTTACTTATAATTCCATTCGCAAACAATACGGTAATGATTTTGACAATGTTATTAAGAAAAAAAATTTCTATACATCACATCGGTGACATTGTAGATAGTATTATAATTTACTCGGAATTCCACGAAATTTCTTGCACCACAGGTCAAATACACATGAAAAATAGTCCTATTAACATATTCCCGAAACAAGGGAGTATGACTCACAAAATAAGACAAGTCCCTGTAAATCAGTATATTTAACATTACACTCATTTTTTATCTTTATATTTAAACAAATATATATTAACCAATTATATTAAGAATTAAACAATCACATTAACGTAATAGCGTGTACATAATAATAAAGGTGAAAGTACCGTGCATATAAATTTTCCTAAAAAATAAATAAATTTACAAGTTGTAATTTTATTTTTTGTTTGCTAATGTGTTATCAAAAGAATCATTTTATAGATACATATTCCTGTATATATTTTTTAACTAATTTTTTTAATCTACATACTTCTTTAATTACTTATTTAATTTACAAACTTCTTTTTTGAAAAATCTACTTAATTCTTTGATTATTTTTTTTAATCCACATACTCTTTTAATTATTTCTTATGAAGCTATTATTAAAATAAATACTAAGTAGTAAATATTAGTATTGTTAAAAATGACAAATAAACACTCATGCAATTCTTTCTTTCAAGGTAATTATCTAGTTGACTTTGGCATTCTCCAAATAAGTCCTGTGTTAATCTCACCAGAGATATATTGTTCTCAATTTGATATGATGATGGCTGAGTATCCATGTTCGCGAGTTGCACAACTCGTTTGGCGAATTTTCCAAATTGAAATACATCGTACTTTATCCCATCGATCAGATTTGTTATTTCTACAAAATTATATAAATATTATTTATAACTACACTTACATTGTAGCTATTATACTATAACTATTTATAATCTAAGCCAGTAAATTTCATAGAAATGATCTCAACCGCTTATATATTCGACCAAAATAAAAATGAATAACAGTTACAAATTTAATTTCAATTTTCTCATTTCAATTTTCAACGACATTGATGATTTATAACCTTGAAAATATTTCAAAAATGATAAAATAACGATCAAACCTAGCTTCCATAGATTTAATCATGTAATCATGGTTAATCAATCTCCATAACAAATAATAAAATTATGAAATAAAAAAATCCAAATAACATATTTAACAATTCCTAATTTCCATTAATATATTATATAACTTTATTTCCATGATTTTTTTACTATTACATTTAAGCATTGCAGAGCCTTAAAAGTCTTATAATATCTTTTTTTTTTAATTACGATTGTTACTTAAGATTTGAGAACTTTTCGGATTTTAGAAGTTAGAACTTGAAACTTGATGACAGATTTTGCTGCAAAATTGGATGTTACTTATGGTATTGATGATTTTACTGCGATCTTGAATGTTAATTAGGATATTGATAGTAAGTTATGGAAAATTAAATTGTTAAATAATGTTACAAAAATTATGTATTAACAAATTACGTAAATTTATTTATAAATTAACAAAATATATATGATTACATAAAAATTATATTGCACAGAGTTAAAACATATAATTATGTGTATTGATTGATTAGTCATTTACATATTATTATATAAATCTTGATTTTGTCTTATTATAAATATTTATTATAAAGCTCCTTATATAAAAAAAAGTGGTACAAAAGATTATTTTATATTACATAGGTTGTGGCGACGGTCCTTTGACTGGATTTCGACCATTGACCTACTTTTTTTCGGCAAAAAAGTAAAAAATAAAAATCATGTGTGTTGTACATGACATCTTAATTTTTTTTTATTCCCATTTTATCCACTTTTACCCACTTTTCCCATTACCTTGTTCGATTTGTCTTCAATTTTATTTCGAGACACTAGAATCCGAGTTTAATAATTTGTCTTCAAGTTTAATGCAAGACACTATAATCGGAGTCAATTGCCGGAATCCGGTCAAAAGACCCTCACCACAATATAAGTGAGATAAAAGGACCTATTGTGCTACCTTTTTATAAAAAAACATTTACAACAAAAGATCTAAAAGGACATTTCTCAAAAAAATTCCTGAAATGTACTCAGAAACTTTTGTAAACTAGAAATTAAAAACAAGTGTAGCATTACACACTAACATTTTTGTACTACACTTCCCATGAAGTAAATTTATCACAGAAATTAATTTTCGTACATAGTTTTTGTGTTATTTTTCAAATTAATCTTCTGTAGAGTTTGAATCGATCCTCTAAAGTCAATAAAAACCATAATCTACTGATGTACTTTCTAATTGATGAATAATGCTCTTCTAATGATGTAAAATTCGAACAACACGTTGCTGGAATTTCCAATAGTATCTTCTGTAATAGATGCAATGTATGAATGTATGATACTTAGATCAAGGATAATTTTTTTCAAAACTGAGTGACTTGGTTCACTTCCAATTGCCGCTAAACATAAGTGCAATTTTTCTTTCATTAGCTTAGGTTGTAATTTGCTCGTTTTTTATGAAGTTCTCTTTGTCAAAAACAAAACAAAAAAAGAGTGCAATTTGCATTATAATGTTTGGGTGTTTCTCTCTTTCTCAATTTTTCTCTATTTATTGCATTTCTATTTTTTTCTCCCTTCTTACACTTATCTTCTTAATTTTTTTATTTCAGATTTAATGATGAGACGTATGGATAGCTATTATAACGATCATTTATACTATTATATTAAAAGGCGTTATTAAAAACACTAGGCGCCATGTAGACTCCCTCATTTCGCCATGTCACTTACTCAATTTCTTATTATGCCACGTCATCCACTCAACACCTTAACATGACACGTCATCCACACAGCCAACAATAATACTCCATGTTTTCTCAACTATATTGGAAAAAATATATAGATGAGAAGGTTCGAACACTTGACCTCTGTAAAGAAAAGTTATTGTTCAACCATCTAGACTAATTGTCAAATATGCTTTGACCCTGCACAATAAATAATATTATACTATAAAGTACTTAAGACACATACTACATACACACTATTAGATGCTCTAAAAATTAGCAATTGCACAATTATAAAAGTAGTAACCCGAGGTAACGCTCGAGCTACTCACTAGTTATATCATGGAATGGAGGGGACACTATGATATGGTTAATTAAAATGTGCTCAAACAACCATATTAGAGATTAAAAGTATTATAGATTATGTACGGGACACTGTTAGGGTTTGTCCACTAAAATATGTTAAGCTATTAGTGATCCATTATTACGCATATCGGCTAACTCTCCATAACGGCCCTAATCACGGCCACATGGAGAGCTACTTACGAACACGTAGGCACTTGTTGCCTACAAAGTCAACTTGCCACCTATGTTGATAGGGGGCACCGGCTTGATTGTTTTCCTATATTACCCAAGCATAATCCTATATCCATTGTTAAGGTACGATTTCATTATCTCGCTCTCTCTCCTGAACTACAAAATTGTCCGTCTTCGTGTGAATATGATGGCATCACTACTACTCCTAGTATAGCCACCTTAATTTTGTCTCTACATACTTTACACGTATTTGTAACATTGAAATCTACAATTTGTATTTAGCTCCTTAAGCCAGCATTGCTTATTGTAATATATGAAAGGAAAATTACATGTCACATATTTTAAATATGAAATAATAATTAGGAAAATGCTACACATAGCCCTTAGGGCTACATATAAGCATTAAAAATACTCTTGAAAACTGTTTAAATTTTAAAATCATGACAAATTCACACTAATTACATTGATTAACGTGTGTTTTTGTCATGAATTCCTAATTTTATACAATTTCCAAGATTGTTTTAATACTTATATATAGCCCTAAGGGCCATGTATAGCATTACCCTAATAATTATAGGAGAAAAGATCAAATTCATTGGCAATTCCAAATTTAATTTGCGTAAGATTATAAAATTGTGATTAATAATCTCATTGAAATTTATGCTTAGGTAAAATCTATGGGACAACAATAATGAAGAAAAAAACAAAATATTTGCAACTAATATGAGTTTGTGGACTTGCACTAATCTTAACGAAGCATCATTTCAATTTTTTCTAAGGTGAAACATCCCACTTTTGTCGATAACGATGGAGTATGATTGATACTAGCACACACTCTACTTGAATCATCGTTATTAGTTAAATTTATAGATTCACAAACAGGAGGATTATTATTATTATTATTATTATCACCCTCCTTAGTAACTCTAATCCGATATTGGATTGTTCTTATCTTATCCTCAATCACCCATAGCAAGTCCCCTAAATCACTAGGGTTAACTTGGTCAAGAGATGATTTTACATTCAAGATGTCACTCACCATATTCGAGATTTGTTTCTCACGGTTCTTTCTTTGAAGCTTCAATAATCTTTCCTTTGCCTTGATCACACTATCATTTAAGAAGGTGTATTGGTTAAACCCCCTTTGAGATGGATCAATTTCCGACTTACTATAATAGTCGGAGATAATCCTTTTTACTTCTTCCTCGGAAGAAGGCCACACTACCGGTGCTTGCTCCTCTTGCCCGTAGATGATAGCACAAGCATCAACTCCACATAAGACACTTAGTTCCCTAGTCTTTTTTACCAAGTTTTTCACTCTTTTTCGGTATGTCACTCTCCTAGAAGAGTCATTTTCTATGAAAGCTAGTTTCACCTTTTTCCTAACCATTTTGAGAATGAAGGAATGAAGAGCTATGGGTTGGAGATGAGTGAAATTAATATGATGGATGAATAGATTGAAGTCTTAAGAGAGTATTTATAGATTTGATTATGCAATATTCTTTTGATTTTAACAAAATATTTGTTCAATATTATATGATCATATCATTTGTGATCTATTTTGATTATGTATTATATGATCATTTGTGATCAATTTTGATAATGTATCTTAAGAGATATATGACATGATTATGTAATTATAATGAGATTGTAATAACACAAAATGCTTAGCTGGTGATTACATAATTTTGGATAAGTTATATGCTTATGAAATTCGATTTGTATTGTTTGGAAATTTAGGATATACTATGGATAAAAAAAAAATTATTAAGAATAAGCTATTAAATATTTTTATTATAATTTTTATTTTTAGGGGAAATTCTCATTGCTGAACTCCAACTTTTTAATTTTCTAAGTGGTAAACGTTTTAAAATTTTATTATCAAAGGTAAACTTAAATTATTGATTACCATTGATAAGTGTTACTTTAATAAAAATCCTTAACTATAGTTAGTTTTTTTTTTTTTTTTTTTATAAAAATTAAATTATTATAAAAATATTTTTCAAAAAGAAAAAAAAAACCCCTCCCCAACCAAACCATTAGCCTCTCCCCCCTGTCGGCGGCTTGGCCCCTGTCGGTGATGCCTAAACTCTCCCACCCTTGGCCGACGACATTTCCCCTTCCCCATTTTCGCTGCCCACCCCTTCCATATTTCTCCCCAACCCGACACCCATCTCCACCCCAAACCGCCCCAAAATTCGCCCCATCCCCTTCCCAAAACTATCCCTACCCTGTTTTCTAGACACCCAAAACCCTAATCACCCACTCGAAACCATTCAAAAACCCGAAACCTCCTTAAAATCCGTTTTAACCGTTTTCTAGGGTTTTGGATTGCAGGGTGGTTTCGGGTTTGTAAGTGCTTTCGAATGGGTTTAAAGGGTTTGGGGGGTTGGAAACTGGGGGAAAGGTAGAGAAGTAGGGTCGCCGATGTCGGGGGTTAGGTAGGGGTTCCGGTCGCCGACAAGGGGATAGAGGATCTAGCAGTGGGTAGGGGAAGGGGTGGTTGATTTTTTTATTTTTATTTTAGTATAATTATTAAATTGTTAAAAATAATTAAAAAACTTACTATAGTTAAATGTTATTGTGTAAAAAAATAAAAAAAAAATCTAACTGTATGTAGTTAATTTTTTTTATAAAATATAATAATTAATGTCATAAGTAATAAATACAGAAAGTTTATGAGTACCAAAGATAATTTTATAAAACTTTGTTCACCATAGAGAATTTGTTGAAGCATAATGGTTTTGATGATGAGAAACTAGAACTAAAAGCAAACTCAACTAATAAAGATTCTCTAGCGTGTGATTAGCCTAGGTGAAAATTGATCTTGGTGATTGAAGAACCATATGAAACTAAGAAGACATGAAGAAGATCTTTATTGAAGAAGTTAAACAAATTAGAGGAAGAGTTCTCTAACAAGAACTAAGTTCCCTAACAGGAACTTGAAGAAAAGCATGTTTAAGTTCTTTGGTGGAACTTAATATGCTTGGATCCCAAGTAATCTACCTGATCGAAGTGCGGCGCAACAATAATATTTAGTTAAGGTTTTTATCTTATAAATTTTATTGTTAATATGTTAAGTAGGTTAGTGCACGAAATTTATTAGAAACGTGATAAGTTTGCTTGGTAAATAAAATAAATATGGAAAATAATAAAAAATAGATTTTAGGAAAAGATTTTCTAGAAAGATTATTTTCTTTAAAATCGGTTTGTTAAAAAGATAAGTCTCTTTAATAAATATCTTTTTAATCTTATTTTCGGAAAAGATTTCATCCCACTTGATTTACATAAAACCGTGTTTAAAGATAAGTTAAGTGAACTTATTTATCTTTTAGAAAACCTACTTTCCATACGAGTGTTACTTGTATAAATAGTAGAGAGCAAAATGGTTTTAGGTTTTTGTGAGTTTATGCGTGGAGAAATCACATTGCTATAATTGAGTAAGTTTGCCAAGCTTCTAATTTGTCATATTAGTTTCGGATTTCGTGCATTTCTTACCTATCATACTAGGTGTCATATATTTGTATTGGTTGGGTTATTTGGGTGAATTTATAGTTTGATTTATATACAGTTTTGTGTTGACTTCTAGGTGAAGTTGTGAGTCTTGTACTTAGGTGGTACAAGTGTTTTAGTACTTTGGCAGTACGTGTAGTGCTTTGGTGGTACGTGTGAATTTAAGTGTGGTGCTTAAATTGGGTAGGATAGGGTCCTATCAAGTAGCAAGTCCAGTGAGGAACTTGTGAAATAAAGGTCCGTGTCTAATAGGTTGTAACTTGGTGTTTGTCCTATTATAGTGAAGTGATTTATGTTTGAAATCCCTAAGGTAGGGTCGAGGTTTTACTTCCAGTTGGGCCTTGGAAGGTTTCCTCGTAAAATCTATGTGTTTCAGCAAGTTCCTATGTGCATTGTTTATTTATCCGGAAAAAGTAGTCATTAAGAACTCTATACAATTCACCCCCCTTGTATTAATCGTCTCAACTAACAATTGGTGTCAGAGCAAGGTTCTCTCGTGTAAGAAAATAACTTTGCTGAGTAAGTTCCTGGAGAGATGAATTACAAGGAGAAACTTGAAGAAGGGTATTCTACCCAACGTCCACCCATGTTCAATGGTAAGTTTTACACCTACTGGAAGAACAGGATGGAGATCTTTATTAAGGCAGAAAATTACCAGGTTTGGCGTATCATTGAAACCGGTGATTTTGAAATAACCGCAACCAATGAAAAGAAAGAGGTAGTTCCTAAACCTATTTCTGAGTATGATAAAGAAGATTATCAGAAACTTGAACTGAATGCTTTAGCTATAAAGTATTTGCACTGTGGATTTGGACCTCATGAACATAATCGTATCATGGGATGCAAGTTTGCTTAACAGATTTGGGATCTACTAGAGGTAACTCATGAAGGTACAAATGAGGTAAAACGTTCTAAGATTGATCTATTGATGTCTAGATATGAAAGGTTTGAAATGCAATCAAAGGAAACTATAGAGGAAATGTTTACTAGGTTCAATGATATAATTAATGAACTGAATTCCCTTGGCAGACACATTCCTATTGATGAACAGGCTAGGAAGATCTTAAGGAGTCTACCACAAGGTGAACGATGGAGATCAAAGGTTACTGCCATGCAGGAAGCCAAGGACTTCACAAAGTTCAACATGTAACAACTAGCTGGATCATTGATGACTCATGAACTACATCTGAGTTCCAACTCTAAAAGTTCCAAGAACAAGAATCTTGCTCTTAAGGCCCAAGACTCGGAGGAATCAGAAGCCGATGAGGAAGAAATGGAAATGATAGTTAGAAAGTTCAAAAGGATGATGAACTACAAGAAGTTTGATAGGAACAAGAAATATACAAGTTCCAGAAACACAACTTGCTTCAAGTGTGGCTCGAAAGATCACTTCATTAAAGATTGTCCATTACCAGATGGTGAGAAAGGAAAGACAAAGGGCAAGGAGCAATCCAAAGAGTCAAGAGTCTATAAACCTTACTTCACCAAGGACAACGTTAAGAAAGCCATGCTGGCTGCTTGGGGAGATTCAGATTCAGAGGAAGAGGAAGAACAACCTCTAGAGGAAACTGCCCATCTGTGCTTGATGGCGAAAATTGATGAAAAGGCAAAGCTGAAGGAGCTAGAATCTGAGGTATGGTTTTCTCAAAAAGAACTTAGACATTTCACTAAAGAAAACCTAATATTAGCTGTTTTAGAAATTCAAGAAGAACTGAAAGAATTGCATAAAGCTAAACAGAAAAGTGATGAAGCTTTGGTTACTTTTAAAGAAAACATTGAGTGGGTTGATAATTTGAAATTTGATATTCAATATAGATTCTTTAGTCTGTTTGATGATAATAATTATTTAAAAGAAACTATAGACAGGTTGAAACATGATAAAATAATGTTAAATGTGGAACTATCCTTGATGAAACTCTCTCTTAATGCTCCTGATTCTGAAGTTCCTCCACTTGCTCAATATCCGAATTTTGAAAAACTAAAATCTGATTTGGAAGATATAAAAGCGGATAAGGCAAGACTTGAGGGGGAACTTGAGAAAGCTAGGAAAGGCAAACAACCTGTAGATTACAGAGTTCCAAATTGGATCACCAAAGCTCAAACCAAAAGAACAGAAGGTTTGGGTTTCAAAAAGAAGTTCCAAAAGGAAAAGAAGTATGTTGACCTGCCCAGTAGTATAGTTTGTTATTTCTGTGGCAATACTGGACATAAACAGGTTAAGTGTCCTAAGAAAGAAAAGAGTACACAGAAAAATGAAAAACATGTAGAACAGATTTGGATCAAAAAGAATAAACCTACTGTTGTTACACAGGAACCCAAGGAAACCTGGGTTCCTGAACCTAATGTTTGATTTCTCATGCAGGTTCCAGTGAGGGGGAACAACACTTGGTACCTCGACATGGTTGTTCTAAGCACATGACTGGAGACTCTTGATCTTTAAAACCATCTCTAGAACAACAATGGTCATCATTGTTAAAATCGTCTAATTTGAAAACTCTCAAAACTCCGAAAACACCATTCAAGAAGAAACATCTCCTTTAGCCATGGTGAACTACAAATCGTCTTCTACCTCAATCAAAACTCTTGAAAAACCTAAACCACATCTCCTAAACCTAAAGAAGTAGACAGTAAGAGTGATCAAGAAGAATCTTCTGTCTCAAGTGTCCTTCAAAGGTTAAAAGAGTGGAAAGAGAAGAAACAAAGGGAGAAGTCTCTTGAAGAGCAAATCGAAGAAATTGACGAGTTTGCTCAAGAGAAACACTTAGAAGAGACAAAAGAGGAGGACGAAGAAGGAGAAGAGATGAATGTGGGAGAAGAAGATCAGAACAATTCAGAAAAGGAAGAATCTGAAAAGGAAGATGAAGAAGAGGAGGTAACTGATCAAGCCGAACTTGAGTCACAGGCAGGGAGGTATGTTGTAGGACATCGTATCGATTTAGTTTGGTGTAGGAAAGCTAGATTCTTAGAGTTTCTTGATTTGATTAAGTTTCAAGGCTGGGAATTCTTGCTGTCAAGAGTCTCAGCAAACTATATGTAT